AGTCATATTCAGATGACTTCCGACAATCAAAAGCTTTAAGTGTCATTTTTACGATTGCCTGCCGTCACAGTTTTATCACGGTGTGCTGAATTTTGCAGCCTCATCCGTTAACAGTTTTGTTCCAAAGTGAGACATCATTTAACTCTCACAGAAATGACTGCATCCAAGAAAGGGAGAGTTACATGAGATACTTCATCGGCAGGGTGTTATTTTTAACAATGGGAAGGTGATTTAAGGTTTGGAGAAGTGGCAGATTCAGACTGTTTGAGGGGCAGGGGTGAAAAAAACTATAAAGGGCACCATCGCAATAAAAACTTTAGTCAGGATTAACCCCCTGGAGGGTACTTTACTGCGTTTTGTCCACTGGCAGGGCAACCTAGAGATGACCTTGTATCATGTTTTATCTATATAGAGGCATCTAACAGGGCGCTTTTGCTGCGTTTAAATTGTACAACTTCTTACAATTCTGAAATATTTTAAATAACTTATGTCCGAATTAGTCATTTGCATGTTTGAGTTGATTAACTGCAAATAATTCATATTCTATATTACTGCTTAATATTTCAATAGTAAAGTAATGTTCTACTTCCTGCTAGAAGCTCACAACAGTGTGGTTTTACAATCAACTTGCAGAGACTGTAAGTTTGCTTGAAATCTGTGATCTATCACTGTGAACAATATGCTTAAAAAGTTTTCTTAAGTTCACATCATGCGTCTTTGCTGGTTCATTCAGGTGTTTGTGAGAGACTGCAACATCCGAGATTTGGAGAGGAGAGGACAAATGATAATTTGGTCATCACTTGTGTTAAAACATTACAGTCGTGTACTCAAGACTTATATGTCAGGGTTTCAGGAGATTTCCAAATAGTCATCACTCAAACATGTGTTTATTGCAACTGAGTAGACTCAATGAATAATCTTCCTTCAACCCATTAGAGCGCATCTTTTCAAAGTAGCCTTGAAAAGATGGTTTCTCAGTAGCTCATAGCCTTTTTATATTTATGTTTATATTATGAATAGAGCTTGGAACATGTCACTGCGCCATATATATGTTTTGTCTCAACTGCTGCAATGGTTTTATGTTTACAAAATTGCCATTGTTGCATGTTGGAGGACCACAATGGATCAATCAATCATCATCTGCAGGTTGATTTTCATCGTTTTCTTCCACCTGGACTGAGAAAA